TTTTACAAAAAAATTGCACGCAAGCTTTTTGGGTGTGGAAGCTATCAAATTAGTTATATTAATTTCTCTTTTATGTTAGTTATAATGGATTGGATGGTCAAACTTAAGGGAAAATTCTATAAGATGGTAGTGAGGCTTGCAATGCTTTATGGTGCCGAATGTTGGCCTTTAGAAGAGAAGCATAATACTAAGTTAAGTTTGACAGAGATGAAAATGCTCAGGTGGTTGAGTGGCTTTACCCTTAGAGATAGGATACGGAATGAGCATATACGTGAAAAGGTTGGAGTAGCTCCAGTAGAAGATAAGTTTAGAGAAAGTCGCCTTAGATGGTTTTGGTCACATAAAACGGCGGCCTTGTGATGACCCGGTTAGGAGAGTAGAGGTATTAGATTTGACTTATGTTAAGAAAGGTAGGGGTAGACCTAAAAAGACTTGGTTAGAAAATATTAGGAATGACCTTTCTTTATTAGATTTAAACGAGAACTTATTAGGAATGACCTTTCTTTATTAGATTTAAACGAGAAAATATTATGAATGACCTTTCTTTATTAGATTTAAACGAGAATTTGACTTTTAATAGGACACAATGGAGAAAAAGGATTCATGTAGCCGACCCCACATAGTGGGATAAAGGCTTGATGTTGTTGTTGTTTACAATTAAGTTTCATTTAGTTGGTGTTGGTTTATGTTTTATCAAAAACCAACCTTGATGTTGTTGTTGTTTACAATTAAGTTTCATTTAGTTGGTGTTGGTTTATGTTTTATTAAAAGGAAGTGTCTTGTTGTATTCCTAGTGTTCTACTTGTTTTAGAACCTAGATTGTATCACCACACAACCACTATAACACCAACAGGTGGCATTCATTTTTCATTCTCTCATAGTCTCCTCTGCAGCTCAACTTCTCCCCAACTCATCCCTATTTCACAAACCTCTTATCATTGATAACCCTCCTTCACCTCTACCACTTTCAGCATTCTGCAAGAAGAAATGAAATAAATCTTCTTCGCCACGAACCCTTCTTTGCCTCTACCTCCTTCGCCAATAAATCTCCTATCACTTGTAAATGCTCTCTCCTAGATCAATTGGAAGCTATTTCCACCTAATCCCACAAACCCTACAAATGCAATTTTTTGTGGAATATGAAATAGAATGGGTCACACATGTTGGTTCACGTCAATCAAGTTGGTCTCAACCTGGGTTCAGGTTAGACATTCTAACTCGTATAATAAATGAATTGTGTGAAACCTGAATCATTTACCTAAATTGACACCCCAAGAATTACCAATCTATATCATTGTATAAGCCCATTATTAAGCTAATTTCACAGCTCAAAAAACACTCAAACCACAACAAATTGTTAAGCAAGCTATACAATTATGCTTTTTTGTAGTATTGTGTATTAACTTAATTAATATAAAAAAATTATTAGCATTAAAACAATTTTTATAACTGAAACTGGGTTAGTATCACTATATTTGACTAGAATGTCAAAACTAAGTCATCATAATTTTTTATATGTTGTCAAAATAACTAATTAAAAAGGTCTAATCTTCTCACATTGTATAGATAATAAAATAGTAGCTACAATAAATGAACACATAACTATGTTGAGTTTGCAGTTATCAACAACATTAGCAAAACATAACACAATGAATCCATGGTTGATTAGTTTAAAGCCATTAATCTATGAAAAGATCAAAAAGAAAAGTGATATGATACTTGTATGATGATTAACAATAATTTTTTAGATGTCAACTGATATTTAATATGATAAAGTATCCATCCTAATTGAATTATAACCCCATGTTTGTGGTAAGTGCTTGAGTGGAGTTTTGTGATAGGAAATTCTTGATTCCAAGTATTTCCTAATCACTTTAGCCAAAGATCTCACAGCAAACTGCTGTCCACAGCAGGAAATCAGCCAAAACAGTGGGAAAACACGAGAAAAACGATAGAAACACGAAGTAAGAACTTGTATTTTACTAGAAGATGAAAGGAAAATAGCAAAGATACAAGGATCCTCTATTCGAGAGGAGGATCGCACTCTCCCAATCTCTAGAATACGATCTAGAGCCCAAGTCGACAAGAAGAACAAGAGAAACTACAAGACAAAAAACACATGACCCTAAACCTCCCCTTTACTCCTTACTTAATGCATACAATTCAAAATAGACACAAAAGGACCTAATTGCCCTCACTTCCCCTCATTTTGGCTCCAAGAAGCAATTTGAAATTCACGTGGACCCCGCCTCTAGCCTCATGCGGCTTCCGCCTCATGTCCGCCCGCCCTCCTCCTTCGGTAAAACTGAACCGGCCCGTTGGATTGGGCCGGCTGGACCAGTCCAGGGAGGACCGGTCTAACATTTTGCCATTGTTAATTAGGCTCTATTTGATTTGAAGGAAGTGAAAAAGATAAAATAAAAAAGAATTGGAAATGGAAAAATTAAAGGAATTGAATTGAAATCAATTGTCATCCACTTGCTCAATTGAAAAGAAATTGAGTAAACAATATTTTTTTCTTTCTTGCTAGGTTAATGAGAAATTGAGTTTTTACTTCCACTGAAAAGATAACATATGCGTCTCAATGACAACCACAATTTTTTTACTTAATACTTTTCACTTGGTTGAGTGAAGAATTGTCAATGGAAAAATCATTTTTAATATATCCTAGGCAAACCCAAATAAATATTAATTAAATTGTAAGCAAAAAATTAATATGAAATTGTGTAATCAAGCATATCCATAAGGTTCCATAAGGTTAAGTTTTGTTCCCTTAAAATTCTCATGATGTTAAGTTATCCAATTCGCTTTTAATAGGACACAATGGAGAAAAAGGATTCATGTAGCCGACCCCACGTAGTGGGATAAAGGCTTGATGTTGTTGTTGTTGTTGTTGTTGCTAAGTTATCCAATTCATTGATGGCCCCAAAACAGGATTACTAGCATCTAGTTAGAAGTAAACAACGTTCATGCAAAAGTTGAAGTATTGGGTAGCCAAATAAGCAAAAATTAAAAATATAATAACATACAGGGAATTGTACTTATTACAACAATACTAATGTGGCAGGCCCATCAAATATTTTACATTTACAAATCTAAGTATGCATCTAGGAGGCATGCAACTTCTTCAAAAAATTGGAAAGGGGAAAAGAAACCCACATCATACCAAGCTACAATTTCTCACCCACGGAACTAAGCCGCATCTCTAGTAGCCGTTCTCGAAACTCTCCATCACTGGCCTTGAGCATCTCCCCAAGTGAAATAGATGAGGAGCCAAAGCCTCTCTCTACCATCATTGTATGTCGCGGTTTAATCCTTCCCTCAAGACTATAAGCAAAGTACTGCGGAAACTCCTTCAAGTCCACAATTTCCCTCCCCATTTCCCCCACTAAAAACTCCACCTTAGGCCGAAAATTCTTCTCAACGCTAAAAGTGAGCAGACTAGGCATCCTCAAAACCAATTTCACAGTATCCGTATAAGAAAACCCAAGGCTCTGGACAAAATCAAGCTTGGGAATGAGCGTCTCCTCAACATCAGATATGAGAAGGACAGTAGTACGAGCGGTGATGCGGTGGCGACCGACAAAGCCGAGGCCACGGAGGAAATTAAAGGAAGGCAGGAGGCGATCGGGGACACTGGAGAGGAGAAGTCTAGGGCAGCGGTTGATGGAGAGGCGAAGGTCCAAGAAGGGGATGGATACGGTGTCGAGAAGGAAGTGGATGGCGGGGAGGATTGAGGCGGATGGATCGGCGGTGAGGAGGGAGGGGTGGAGGGAGAGGACCCGAGAGGAATCGGATTGAAGTAGGCCGAAGGAGGAGAGGAGGGACGATAGCGATTTGAGAGAGGAGAGAGGAGCGGAGCGGAGGCTAGGGTTGAGGGAAAGGGCGCGGAGTGAATTGACGCCAAGGTCGTGTTCGAGGAAGAGAAGCTTTTCGCGGAAGCGCAAGCCCGCGTCGTTGCCGGAGATGTAAGTGGTGCCAGCGACCGGAGGTAAAAATCGGAGGGCTGGATTAGGGTTTAGCGTTTGGAGAGGTTTGGGGTGAGTGAGAGAACCGAGAGGGGAGTGGAAACTGAGCATAGTGAGTGTGAGTGGCATTGAGCATTGTCCGCATAATTTCCTTCTGATGGTTAATAAGATAAATATATTCACATAATTATATTAGTTATCCCGGTAATTCAGATTGATTATTTATTTAAAATAAAAAAAACTAATTTATGAGTGCTTTTTTTTTCTAACAATGCTAATCATCTTTCGTACACTGCCACATGAGATGTTATACATAATTTTATTTTCATCTTTTTCTTACTTTAAATGTACTTGAAGTTGAACGAAATTTTAAGACTTATGCATCATAACAAAATTTTCACGATCAAACATAAATCTCAACACATGTTTGATTTAAAAACAACCAAAGTTATATTAGGGTCATCCGAACTCTGATTTCAACAAATTGTTAGTCAAACTACTAAATGTTTCAACAAGAACAACTCAAAGACATCAAAATCGGTCCAATACGAACTCAAATGGTAATGGTTTAAAGCATATTTGGAAACTTCATTATATTAATTTGGAAATCAAATGATATCCAAATATGAAATACTTATAATCGAATCGACCCTATTGACGAGACAAATCCAATGAGCTCAAGACTATTTAATTCTAGCATCATTAAGTCACTTAAATGTTGAATAAATGTTCTATAATCGAGGGGATCAATAAATATTGTCCGATCAAGGGCTCTATATTTGCTCCAAATTTTATCTATATTTATGAGATATGTCTCTCTAAAAAATTTATAAATAAACTATCTCTCCTTACATGATAGATTAGGCAAAGATGCTTGGATAAGAGAGAGAAGAAAGCTTTGGGACAGACTTAAAAAATCACACAGCTCCACCCGAGCGCCACCTCCAGCAAATCCTCGCCACTTGGTCATTGGTGTTGACCACTATTCTGTATTCGCCAAACCTCTTCCCTATTATCAATTGTTAAAACTCTGCCCAACCACTATCATCAAAACTTTCATTAACTAATTGACACCATCAGACCTCCTTTGCACGACCGTTGTTGTTGGACGTTTGCCCCACCGCCGCCACTAAACTATTGTCTATTGACTTGCTATCATTGTACTTCCATTAGATGACAGTTGTTTCAGCATCCATAAACTATGGTCCCTCTACACTTTTTCACCCAACTATAATCCCTTTGACCTTCATCATCCGACTATAATTCCTTCGACCACCGTCGCTTGACAAAGTTTGGTCAAACCTCCGTCGTTTGACTACACTCCCTCCGACTTCAGTAGCACGACTAGTGTCCCTTCAACCACTATTGCATGACTATGGTCCCTCCAACTTTCATCGCCAAACTAGAGTTTCTTTGACCACCATCACCCAACTATAGTCCCTCCGACTTCCATCACCTGGCTATGGTCCCTTAGACCTTCTTCACCCAACTATTGTCATTCGACCACCGTTGCATGCCTGCTACGATCCTTTCGACCCCCATTACTAAACTGTAGTTCCTTCGACCTTTATCGTCTACCAATTCTGATCCTTGGACCATTGTCGCTTGTTGATTACAGTCAGCAAACTACTATCACTCATTGACTACGGTCCCCATACCATCATTAGTCGTTGACTATGGTCCTCAAACCACAGTCGTCTTTTGATTACGGTCCTCAGACCACCATTGCCAACTGCGATCCTTCTGACCTCATGTGATGCTTTTAATAAAAATATTAAAAAAATTATATTTTATTTTAATAATTTATAAAATATAACAATGTATTCATGGTGTATTATATACTGATTGTTCTAGTTATGTCGTATCTTTGTGTTCAAAGACTCTAATTGAACTCATGTACAATACTTTTAAAGACATATATTCTAATTAAAGAATCCTAGAGCTCCACCCGGCACCACCACTGATAAATCCGTGCCACGAGGCCACCATTGCTGAATCTCCTCCTGACCATCATCAGCAGACCTCCATCTGGCATCCATTGACAAGCTTTCCTCCATTGTCACCCATCAACTACGGTCCTTCCAACCACTATCACCCAACTACAATCTATTCGATCACCATCACCTGACTAAGGTTCCTCCGACCACCGTCTCCCAACTACGACTCTTCTAATCTCCATCTCCCACCGACTACAATGCCTCAAACCAATGTATCCCGACTACAATCCTTTCAATCTCTGTCGCCCATCGGCTATGATCCTTCTAACCATCATCATCCAACCATCAACATCAGACCTTCATCTAGCATCCAATGATAAGACTTTCTCTATTATCACCCATCAACTATGGTCTTTCCAACCACCATTGTCTTACTATGGTTCGTGTGACAACTGTCACCTGAATATGGTCCCTCCGACCACTATCGCACAATTATAGTTCTTCTAACATACATCGCCCACCGACTACAATCCTCAAACAATTATTGCATGATTATGATCCTTTTGACCTCTATCTCCCACCGACTATGCTCCTTCTAACCATCATCATCCTACCATCACCGTCAGACCCCATCTGGCATTCATTGATGAGTCCTTCTCAATTATCGCTCATCAACTATAATCCTTCCAATAATTGTCACATGGCTATGTTCTGTCCAACCACTGTCATTGGACTATGATCCCTTCGATCATCATCACCTAACTATGATTCTTTTGACCTCCATTGTCTGCCAACTACAGCGTCTCCAACCATTATTGCATGACAAAGATCCTTCCGACCTCTATCAGCTGCCAATTATGATCCTGCTAACCATTATCATTTGACTATGACCCTGCCAACCAAACGAACATGACTACAATATATTAAAAATAACTATCATATCATTCTCCAACTATGTAATATATTCTATACAATGTGTATTCATTTCATCGAGCCAACGCCCTCCTCCAAGGAATGACATTATTTGTAACCAACCACCAACATTAGAAGATTTATTTTAACTAGGTTATGCCCCATAAATTTTCCCCCTTTTAAGGATTTCTACATAAAAATTTGGATGTCTCTTCTGAACGTTGCACCCCTCTCACTTATATGTTCGTGCGTTAGATCCTTATATAAAATTAGAACCCTAAATTTTTATCTCTCTACCACTACATAATTTATCAGGTGCGCAACAATTTGTTGCCGTATATGGAAAATTATTCTTAGTTGGGGGCAAGCTTTGCTGCAACCTCAAAAGGTCATTTACATCAATGACTTGGGCACGATTGAAGTAAGACACTCTATTTGCCAAAATCTATTATCAGATCCAAAGGAAGTTCTTCAATATTGAGGGCAACCTTATGTATTGTTTTATCACTACTCAAGCATTAGTCTTTACTATATCAATTTCATGGATGCAGATTAAGATTAGGAGGCAACCTTAATTGCAACATCAAATGAGATTTAGGTCAAGAAAATTCCTCTAATATTGTTAACTTCTAAGATAATATCATTGTTAATCATTTTGCATAAATCTTCTAATAAATATAAGAATAATTCAAGTAAATTTTAAGCTCTATATAGTCCTCAATTGGACTTATACTCCTTAGGGAAGGTCTTAGTCTCGACCTCAAAAAGATAATAATTGCTAAAGTCAGGCCAGTCTTTACTTTTGATTCGGGTTACATGCAGCTTTTGCCCCTCCAATTAAAGCATAGTGGATATTAGGGATATTTGATTTAACATCTTTCACTCAAGTCAACATCATTGAGCAATGTTCTGACAAACAACATTAGTTAGGTCAAAAAAATTTTGTCGATTCCCTCGACCTCTTCCATGCAAGTTAATGCTATCAAAAAAATTTTAGCAAATAACCTAAAAAATGTTAAAGATCCCAAGTAGATTTTCCCAAAATTTTTAATGTAGTGTAATGTCATCAAGTAATGTTTTAGAAAATAGCCTGGGATAGGTTGAACTCCCTTAGTGGAATTTCTTTTGACTTTCTCCATAGAAGTATCTGAGAAACAACGAGCAATATTCTGAGAAACAACCACTAATAGCTCAAACATCCTCGATCAAATATCTTTGGCAGATTCTATCAACCCCTTCCACGCAGCACTTTAAAGCATCAACTTGTTCTTCAAGGAAAGATCGAAGCTCTAATAGGCCTTCACACATTTGACATTCTTAGTATGTTGCTAGACTGATGCCATTGGCACACAACCTGGCCACCTCTGTTAATTTGTTCGCTGTCGACCCCCTGTTAGCATGGATGTCTACTACATCCAATAGACTACAACTCAACCACCACCATCATCGGCCCTTCACTTGATGGTCATTTATTATTCCTTTGCATCTCAACCACCATATTCACCTCCAATCAGTCATCATCAGTCCCTCACTCGACTACCATTAGTAGTACACCCTCCAATAATCATCTTCAGCTCACTACCCGAGTGCCAACGTCAGAATGTAACCTAACCATCTCTGTTAGGCTTTCATCATTTGAATACCACCATATGCATATTTCATCACCTTTCATCTCCCTACATCAAAGGATCAATTTAAAATCGCTATATCTTTTTCTAATCATCAAACATCGACAAACCTCTGCTCGTTCGCTTCGATCACCAGGTCTTCACTCGGGTGTTAATACCTCTAGATCTTTTTTGATCATCATCTTATGCATGAGGCGATTGATCTTCTTCTATCATGGATAGTCTAAGGGGAGAATAATCTCTCATCGGTATTTCTTCTACACAAAGAAGGACATTGAAGTTTGATAGGGTATATTGCCTATCTAAGATAGTAGAATACCACTAATGTAAGAATAAGAAAGAAAGAAAGAAAAGGTAAAAAAGAAAAAAAAAAGTTATAGGTATAAAAGAGGGGGTAGATAAAAGATTATTTAAGAATTTTCTAGAAATTTTTTAAAATTTTTAATATTTTTAGAATTTTAAAAGCTACAAAATATTAAATAATAATAATAATAATTTATTTATAAGCTCCCATTTCCAAAAAGGCGAGCTACTATTCATCATGCCGGCTCATTGAGGCAGCAACTTTTCCAAAAAAAAAAAAAAAAAGTTTTCCACAGAAAATTGAAGTAAAAGTAAAAGCTTTTGATATCCTAAATTATACATTTTCTTAATGAAATGATGATTAAA